GTTATGGTTAGATGCCTACATACTGAATCAAAGTTTATTACTGGGAAAAGTCACACTGATGTAAGAAGACTATAAGACTACTGTTCTTGCTGTGTTCTGCCCAAGTAGTAGATTGGAAGTTTATGGATAGCTTAAAAGTACTGTCACTTTCTAAATGTATTTCAGTCTGCAGATATTTATTGAGAACCTGCTATGTGTCAGACATGAGATATTGGGAATGAGTGAATAAGAAGAGATACCTGCCCTTAATGAACATAGAGTGTCATGAACCATGTTGGTCCCTCTCTTCTTGTGGCCTAGTTGCTTCAGCATGAAGGAGATACTGAGCCACAGGACCTTAGTGTTGTTGGCTCAAATCAGTTTTGTGTTGAACTTTACTGATCTGTTTTAACAAAAATGATTATACTGCCAACTCTGCCACTTAATTATCTGATTGAACTTGGGAAAATTACTTGATTTCAGAGTCTGATACTCCTTAATGGTAACAGGAAACATAATACCTCCCTTGCAATGTCATTGTGAATGTAAAGTACCAGGTTCAGTGCCTAGTATATTATTATTGGTGCTTAGCAGCGGTTTTTGTTGTCTTCCCTCCCTAGCTCAGACATGATTCTGAGATTTTGATTTGGTGATCTTTTAAGGAATAAGCAAGCTGTATCATAGTGTTTGATTTGCAATATTCAGGTATTTCTGAGTTCTTTTACTTATAAGTATTGCTCTAAATTGTAAATTAAGTATCTCAGGAGTTTTTGGAGTATATAATTTCTTAGACATTTTAAAAATTAATTTGAAAGTGAACTCTGCCCCCAACATATCAAGAGTCACACGCTCTCCTGACTGAAACAGCCAGGCACTTTATTTATTTATTTATTTATTTATTTATTTTTAAGATTTTATTTATTTGATAGAGACAGCAAGAGAACGAACACAAGCAGGGGGAGTGGGAGAGGGAGAAGCAGGCTTCCGGCTGAGCAGGGAGCCCGATGCAGGGCTCGATTCCAGGACCAAGGACCACAACCTGAGCCAAAGGCAGACCTTTAACGACTGAGCCACCCAGGCGCACCTTCTTAGACAATTTAAAGCATTCTTTTTTATAAGTTTATGAGCTTGCAGGTGAAGTTTAAGTATCTTTTAGTTGTGTGACCCTGAATTGCCACTCAGCTAGTAAGTTCAGTGCCTTTGGCTTTGAGTAATAATCATCAGCCTACACGTAGCACCAAACTCAGATTGCCGGCCTTATGTGTCTTTTTTGGTTGGAGAGACTAACACTTGATTGGCAATGATTATGCTTTTTAGATTATTCAAGTGTCAAAAAATATTGAATATTTTCTGATTTCTGAATTATTTTTATAATGGTTCTTTAGTATTTTAGTAGAATTCACTCAATTGTTGCTTTTCTTTGCGTTATCTATTTTTACAGGAGGTTTTAAGGAAAAAGGACACTTTCTGGGGTGGTCTTCCCATTTTATAACAGTCACTTTCTCTGAAAATTCACCCTTATCCTGCCAGGTGTGGTCATTCTTCCCCCTAAAGTTGTGTGTGACCTACTTGCAAGCCCTTTATCCTTTTGGTCACATATAAATTGGATTAGGGATGAAAAACGGACTCTAGCTGGACTATTTAGAATGATCCGGGAATTTAGAATTGGGACTGAATGATGGCTGGTCTCTAAACTGTTTGAACTAAAATGTTGAAGACTTGGAATGTGTCTGCAGCTATCTTCAGCCTTGTATATGGAGAAACAGAAAAAAGTCAGTCTGCAGAGAGAATGATATAGATGGGCAGAAACAAAGACGAAAGTCAGAAGGAGAGTACTGTCTGGATTCTTAACAGCTTTCCGGGTCTTTATTCTTTGTGAGGCCCAGTTATCCTTCAATACCATAACCTACCTCAGTGATCTTCCAATAAGTTTCCCTTTATTTTGTACAAGATCACTGAAATTAAGGGGCGCCTGGGTGGCTCAGTTGTTAAGCGTCTGCCTTTGGGTCAGGTCATGGTCCCAGGGTCCTGGGATCGAGCCACGCATCGGGCTCCCTGCTCCTTGGGAAGCCTGCTTCTCCCTCTCCTACTCCCCCTGCTTGTGTTCCCTCTCTCGCTGTGTCTCTCTCTGTCAAATAAATAAATAAAATCTTAAAAAAAAAAAAAGTTGCTCAAATTAGTTTCTTTTACTTAATTTTTATTCTTTTGAACTTCTAAAAAATCTAGATTAAGCTTAAAAATAAAATGGGTGTGAATATCCACATGCAGAAGAATGAACTTAGACCCCTCTCTTACACCATACACAAATGAATCATAGACCTAAGTATAAGAACTAAAACTATAAAACTCTTGGAAAGTGAAAGGACAACTCACGGAATGTGACAAATTATTTACGTGTTTTATGTCTGAGAAGGGGCTTTTTTCTTGAATACTAAGCGGGGGAAACCCAACCCCCAAAAGCAACTCTTAGAACTCAATAATAAAAGGACAACCCAATTTTTAAATAGGAAAAGACTGAATAGACTTTTCTCCAAAGAGAATATACAAATGGCCAATACTCAGCATGATTAGTCATCAAGGAAATATAAATCAAAACCATAGTGACATACCACTTCACATCCACTAGGGTGACTGTAATTAAAAGGACAGAAAATAACAAGTGCATGGAGAAATTGGAACCAACATACATTGCTGGTGGGAATGTAAAGTGGTGTAACTACTTTGGAAAACAGTTTGGCCTTGCTTCAAATGTTAAACACACAGTTACTATGGGACCCACCAGTTCCACTCCTGGGCATATACCCACAAGAAACATGTCCACACCGAACTGGTCAAATGTTCAAAGCATCATTATTCATAATAGCTAAAAAGTAAAAACCCAAATACACATCAGCTGATGCATGGATAACCACAATTTATTATACCCATTAATGGAATGTTGTTGAGTCATAAAAAGAAATGAAGTGGTAATACATACTACAATATGAATGAATCCTAAAACCATCCTAAATGAAAGAAGCCAGACAGAAAAGACCACAAAGCATATGATTTCATTTATATGAAATGTCCAGAATAGGCAAACCCATGGAGACAGAAAGGCGATGAGTAATTCCCAGGGGCTGGAGAGAGAGAGGGAAATGGACAGTGATGGGTAATAGATAAAGGTTTCTTTTTGGGAAGATGGAAATGTCCTAACACTATATTTAGATAATGGTTATGGTCATACAACTCTGTGAATGTACTAAAACCCATTGCATTGTATACTTTAAATGGATGAGTCATATGGTATATGAATTATATCTCAATAAAGCTATTTTTAAAAGCTATATGATACAGGCCCCAACAATGATTATGAAATAATAAAAATAATTTAAAAAATTAAAAATAAAAATAGATTTTTAGAGGTGACTTAGTTGTAACTTTTTTCATAAATTTCATACCTAAATACATTTTTTTAAACAATAACATTAAAAGTTATAAGCATGTTACTTCATTTAAAGATATGAACAAAATTTAGTGCTGATTGTATCAGTTTGAGTGACAGTTTAAGTTGAAATGTAGTTTTTTTTTTTTAATTTCCTAACATTCCTCTCATTGCCATTATGTTTTGGGGATGAAAGGAGACAGTTGTGGCGTTGTGGAAAGATCTCTGGACTTAACACTTGCTAAAGCAGGACAAACAGGTGTTCAATCTGTGGTCTTGAATAATTTTTTTAAAAAGATTTTATTTATTTGATAGAGACACAGCAAGAGAGGAAACACAAGCAGGGCGAGTGGGAGAGGGAGAAGCAGACTCCCCGCTGAGAAGGGAGCCCAGTGTGGGGCTCCATCCCAGAACCCTGGGACCATGACCTGAGCCGAAGGCAGACGCTTAATGACTGAGCCACCCAGGCGCCCCTTGAATAAATAATTTAACGTCTTAGAGCATTGGTTTCAAAAATTTTTAAATGAGGATCATGCTGGGCTAAAAAAACCAATTTTTTTCTTTCTATTTATAGTAGAACTTGGGGAGGTTTTCCTAAGAAAAATAAGTATAGGTATATTCATAGGTGTTTCAGTTTGTCCACACCAGTGTTAACTTAGATTTTAAACATTTTGCAAACAGTGTCCAACTTGTCTAATGCTTGGTATTACATGTGAGAAAATAGGTTCTCAGTCTATAATATTTATTTTCACTCTATATTTAAATAAATTGAAATTTTGGGTCACCTGGGTGGCTTAGTCACTTAAGCATCTGACTCTTGGTTTTGGCTCAGGTCATGATCTCAGGGTTGTGAAATCAAGTCCCCTGTTGGAGTCTGCTTAAGACTCTCCCTCTGCTCCACCCCCACCCCCCGCGCATTTACACTCTCTCTTTCTAAAATAAATCTTTAAAAAAAATAAATTGAAAAAATTTTTAAAGATTTTATTTGACAGCACAAGCAGGGGCGAGCAGGAGAGGGAGAAACAGGCTCCCTATGGAGCCCTGGACTTGGGACTCCATCCCAGAACCCTGGGATCATGACCTGAGCTGAAGGCAGACATTTAACTGACTGAGCCATCAGCATCCCAGAAATTGAAATTTTAATAGCATTATTGGTGACTTTCAAAGTATTAGGTGACAGAAATTATTGAAATATTAAGTGAAAGGCTTATGTTAACCTTTTTCTTGATACATTTGTTTAAAATTGTGTCTCAAATTTGACTGGTTTTAGATATTACTATATCTAAAAATTATGTTAATTCCAGGGTAGCTTATTCATCTATAATTTGTTTTTAAAAATATGTCAACTGTATGTTATCATTTTTCATTTTTTAGTTTGTTTTTGATAATATATGTTTTATGATACACTGATAATAGGTTGATTTTAGAAAAATCTATAATTGCATCCAGTCTCCACAATGAATTATTTAGTGGCGAATATGTGGTAAATATATGTTTATGTTGCAGTTAAGTGATGTTATGGGATAAGTTTCAGTTTTCTTTTTTTTTTAAGCTTGATAGCTGCATGATTAATATGCTAGCTTTTTCTTATCTGCAGAGATCCTGCATATTTTGATGAAAATTGGCTAAACAGAATCAAAACCGAAGTAGGAGATAATTGGAGGCTAAAGGTATTTTCTTTTTATTTTCCCATCTGTTAAATAGTCTTTTAGTTGTGTGTATATATTTGTTGAACTTTCATCTGATGTGTTCAGTGAGCTTTAGAAACCTAGATTGCCTGTAGTGAAATAATCCAGAATTGAAGATTGGAGGTAACCTGAAGTTGCTCACAAAGATACATATATAGTGTAAGTCACTGAAACACAGTGACCGCGGGCATGGACTCTAGAGCCAAAGTGCCTGTGTTCATATCACAATTCTACCATCCACTGTCTGGGAAAGTCTTCTAATCATTCTGTACCTCGATTCCCCATTTGTAAAATGAGGATTGTAATAGGATCTACCTCACAGAAATAAATGAGTTAGTATATATAATGTCCTTAGGATAGTGCACATATGTAGTGTTAGTTGCTAGTCTTGTTGTTATTAATAATGAGGAAATACTGGTCATTGTTAACTGAGCCCAGAACACTAAGAATGAAGTATTTTCATTTCTTTTCCTGGTAGCCTTAAGTTCCAGTATTTCTCAAGCTTCTTTGAGAAAGCCAAAACCCACAATAAGAAATAGTGTTTACATCACAGCCTCCTATCCAGCTAAACGTATGTGCATACATAGTTGAACAAGTTTTTCCCCTTATTCTAGGCACTGATGTTTTGGTTTTAAAAAGTATTAGTTGCAACCTGCTAAATTATTTTAACTTTATGTTTTGAAATAATTCTAGATTCACAGGGGGTTGCAAAAAAATGTACAGAGTTCTGTGTACCTTTCACCCAGTTTTCCCAGTGGTTACATCTTGCATAACTATAATACAATATCAAAACTAAGGAACTGACATTGGTACAAGCCAGTTCACTCAGTTTTCACCAGTTGTACATATGCCCTTTTGTGTTTTTGTATGTACAGTTATGTGTAGCTCTAGTGATAATGTAGTTTCCTTATAATGCTCACCACAATGAAGACACAGAGTTGTTCCATCTCGCAAGACTCCACGATGCTGCCTTTATGACCACATCCACACCACACACTCTTCACCCTATTCCCTGGAAACCACTAATTTGTTCTCCATCTCTATAATTTTGTTACACTAAATTGATTTTTATGACCCAGTGATGATTATGACTGCCAGTTTGGAAAGCTCTAGAACCATTTCTCTTTGATACAGAGGGGTAGAGACTCAGAAATGCAAATGAGTAAGCATGTGTAGTTCCTGGACTTGAGGTATGTTAAGCTTGGTTTGTCTTTATATTTCTTCCATAAAACACATATTTGATGAAAAATAGTCATTGCTTAAATATTGGGTCTGCCAAAATTTAATTCCTTTTGTTTAATTCCTTTTATTTACTAATAGAGTGAATGGACACTGGTTTAAGCTACTATTTTAATTTCTAAACTTTCAAGAATAGACAAATGATTTATACATATATAACACATTATATATGTATATACTCTGTGTGTGTGTGTGTGATTATATATATTTTCTTTCTTTTTTTTTTTTTTTTTTTTTAATAGAGAAAGAGCGAGGTAGGGAGGGGCGGAAGGAAAGAGAATCCTAAGCAGGCTCCACACCCAGTGCAGAGCCCAATGTGGGATTCGATCTCACAACCTGACCTGAGCTGAAATCAGGAGTCATTCACTCAACTGATTAAGCCACACAGGCACCCCTAAATGATTACTTTTTAATGTTTTAACATGTGTAAAGCAATTCTGGATATTTAAAATAATGCTACTAATCAATTTGTGTTTGCTTGCTGTCTTGACCAAAGAGAAAGGTATATACCCCACCTTCCATGCATACAACACACATGTAAAACGCACAGTCTTCAGTGTCATGAGTGTGACAGAGACAGTAATATAGAGAAGGGAGAGAACTTTATCATATTCTTAATATTCAGAACTGGAAATGTCAGTTCTGATTTGCATCCCTGTTCTCCATATTTTATCCTGTTATATTTCTTCAATTTTATTTATTTATTTATTTTATTTATTTATTTATTTTTTTAAGATTTTATTTATTTATTTGACAGAGAAAGAGAGAGCACAAGTAGGCAGAGTGGCAGGCAGAGGGAGAGGCAGGCTCTCTGCTGAGCAGGGAGCCAGATGTGGGGCTCGATCCCAGGACCCCAGGATCATGACCTGAGCCGAAGGCAGCCGCTTAACCAACTGAGCCACCCAGGCGCCCCATATTTCTTCAATTTTAAGATACCATTGATTATAAGATAGTTCTTTTCAGTAGGAAGTAAACTACCATTTTAAATGAACACATTGATTTTTGAGACATTTTAATTTCAAATGTTAAAATATGAATAAAATGAACATTCTAGAATAAAAGAAATAAAATGTATTATATATTTTCCATGTCTCCAAATTTTTCTGGAAGTATAAACGTGTTTTCTTTATGAGATGTTTTCTTTAAATAAGTTTTCGGGGCACCTCGGTGGCTCATTCAGTTGAGCATCTGACTGTTGGTTTCAGCTCAGGTCATGATCTCAGGGTCATGAGATTGAGCCCCACATTGGGCTCTGTGCTCAGTGGGGAGTCTGCTTCTCTCCTTTTCCGCCGTCTCCGCCCCCCGTACCCCAATGCTTATGCTGTTTTTCTCTCTCAAAATATATGTGTGTGTATATATATCTTAAAAAAAAAAAGTTATCAGTTTAATTTTTCCCTTAAAAGTAATATGTCTGATTGCACTGGATCACACTGCTATGATTAAGCCACTTTTACTTGATAGTCACAGCTTCTGCTGTCTTCTCTCCTAGGACATCTTCAGCTACTAACATTGAGTAGGAACAGCTAGGTAGATGGTCAACAGAATCATATTGTGTACATATTTTAACTTAACACAAATTTAACTGTATGAATTGGGTCAAAAAAGAAAAAGGAAGAAAATAATAGCTTAAATAGTATAGGTGATTCTACCTGTCATTTCACTCAGATAACATATAGGCCAGTGAACTCTTGCTTTGGAATGGCTGAGTGAGAGGAAACATGTTGGTCCCTCTCCTTGCTTCTTGGATGCTTTTTCTAAGTAGGCTGCCTGCCCAGCATGGAGCCCAAGGTGGGGCCCGAAGCCACGACTCAGATCGAGACCTGAGCTAAGATCAAGAGTTGGATGCCCAACCAACTGAGGCACCCAGGCGCCCCAGGATGCTTCTTATACCCCACGTATCTTGCAATGCTGACTGTTAACTAGCATTTCAAGATCTAATAGTAATTTTTTAACCTTATGCTCCTAAATACTTACTTTGGTGCTCAACTAAAGAAACAATAGTCTTTTCTGACAGTGGAGAGAATTTGGAGACATTATACTTAAGTTACTTTAAGAGTAACCCAATTTTTGTCAGTGTAATCATAACATTGAAAATTTAACATGATTGGAAACAATTTTTTTTATAAATCTCTTGAGATCACAAATTAAGCCATTGATAGTCCTTTTTTGATGATTATGGTAATTCACATGTACTGTTGAATTTTATTTTTTATATTTTTGGTTCAGAAATTTTTTTTTTAAGATTTTATTTCAGAGAGAGTGAGCAAGCACAAGGGGGGTGGGCAGAGGGAGAGAGAGAGAGGAAGAAAAGCAGGCTCCCCGCTGAGCCGGGAGCCCAATGATGCTGGGCTCGATCCTAGGACCCTGAGATCATGACCTGAGCCAAAGGCAGATGCTTAACTGACTGAGCCATCCAGGCGTCCCCAGAAATTTTTTATGTTGGATTACATTATTTGATCTGTGCTTGCCTTTTACCCAGTTGTTTTATCTCTCTCTAAACAGATAAGCAATTTAAAGAAAATTTTAAAGGGAATCCTGGATTATAATCATGAGGTAAGGACTTTTTCTCACTCTGCTTAGAAGTATTACTATAGGATAATTTAATTTTATAATATTTTACAGTAGTTTCAAGTAAAGGAAAATTTACCTCAAAATTCATAATCATTTATCTTCCATTGTATAGTTTTTAGGATGTTGGTTCAAACAACTATCTGTTAGGTAGTTACTAGGTAAATGCTCTTTTTCACTATAATATGGATGGTTTGTAGATGATTATTTATGTTATACTTTCTTTTCTGTCATCTTTTAACTCTCCTTTTATCCCCTTGTAAAGGTGGTTTAGAATCCAGGTTGTTATTATAGTCCACTCCCTTGCTTACTTTAGTTTTATTCCTTGACAAACCCCCATCCCTAGATTAACTCATTTTATCCTCTCAGGCTGCATCAGAACAGTCAAGGAATAGCTTGGGGGAAAAAAAATCAGGCAGTGGAACTAGTTTTACTTTAAATTTCATGATCACAGATATCAAATGGACACAACATAGCCTGGAATCCTATATTATTTTCTTACTATTTTTCCCCACAAGTTTACCTGCATTTATACCTGCATCTATACTTAGATCATTTATCTTCACAACTCAGTAAGTGATCCTGCTGTCCACCCTATTACTCAAGCCCAAAACCTATAAATAATCCTATAGTCCTTCCTTCTTTTGATATCATCATAAGACCTACTAGTTAATATATAGCTTTTTCTGTCTCTACTTTATACCAAGCCATCATTAGCTCTTGTTTAGATTTCTAGAGTATTCTGACTGGGAACCCTGATTTTACCCTTGCCCCTCTAGTCTATTCTTATTCTTCACTCTAAAGCCAGGATGGTTTTTAAAAAATATAAGTCTGATTATGCACTTTTCTCAGTCTTTATGGTTTCCTATTGTATTGAGAATCAGATTCATACCTATTACCATAAGCCACCAGACACTGCATGACCTCCTTACCCTGTTCACCCCTAACACGCAAGCCATATTCATCCTGCTTCTTTGCTTTTAGAATTTTCTTTTTTCAGTGTATGGTTATTAGGGACCTGCCCATTTGTCTGCACATATTTCATTTCATTTGGGGCCAATTTCCCCGTAAAGGAATTCTCCATTCTCCTTCCTGATATAGGTGTTTGGCTATCAGCATTTTGGAGTCAAATGGAGTGAACATGTTTGGGGGGAATCTTACTGTTGGGGCATGAACCCATATTTAATCTCCCCTCTTTCTGATGCCCCCTTGTTCAGAACCTCTCTGTCTCTACTTTCAACTTCAGAGAATTTGTCTTTCTGGGGGTGGTGAAGGGATCAAAGTATTCAGTTTTGGGGTCTAAGTTGTGGTGATAGAGGTTGTTATAATTTAGGCATGGGAGGTAAAAATAGAAATTGGGAGTGAACCTGACATAACAGCTCTCCTTAGCAATGAGTTTCTGGTGCTGACAAACTAATCTGTATCAAATATTTTATTTGGACATAAAATGTAAATGCAATTCTAATCCTTTTGTCCCCATTCAGATTTTAGGACAGCAAATTAATGACTTTACCCTTCCTGATGTGAATCTTATTGGAGAACATTCTGATGCAGCAGAGCTCGGAAGGATGCTTCAACTCATCTTAGGCTGTGCTGTGAACTGTGAACAGAAGCAAGGTAATTTATGTGATGTTAGTGTATGCATTTAAAATAATTAAGGAAAGTAATACATATTGTATATATTATATATAAATCACCAGTACAAACAATAACATCTTCATAAGGCCACCCTCAAACAAGGCCATTTTCTTTTTTTTCCCCTAAGTAGGCTCCACACCCAACATGGGACTCAAACTCGTGACTCTGAGAGCTCAAGAGTTGTGTGCTCTACCAAATGAGCCCCCCAGGTGCCCCAAACAATGCCATTTTCTATAATTTTACTGGTACTTTGTTTGCAAGCATAAGAGCTTTGCAATTTAGAAAAATTTGATTGTAATAATATTCTTTCCCTTTAAGCAAAACTACATAATTCTTTGGATTATTTTTAACTACAATGAGTATGGTGAAATTTACCGTTAATTGGAAAAGGTCCAGCTAAATTAATATCAGTAATAATGAGAAGGTTAAACTGGATCAACTCAGCTCTGGGAACTTAGAATTGGCTACTTTAGATTGCAAGTATGAAGGATTTATTTCACAAAATTTACTGAACTCGTGCGTTATCCCGGGGCTAGGAGCACCGTGCCAGACAGAACAGACACGGCACCTGCCCTTGTGGAACTGTTAGGTGAGTGGAGGGGAGGGCAGGAAGCAATGCCACACACAACTGTGTGAGCTGAGAGGTGATGAGTGCTGTGAAGGTAAAGTGTAATGGGGGGCCAGTCCAGGCGTGGGCCAGGAAAGTTATGTAAGCAAAGATGTGGAGGAGGATGGACTAAGAGTAATCTGAATAGTAGGAACTGAATGTCGGGAAGACTTAGGTTACCTTTGAGAGATTTAAAAAAACCACATGTATAATTAGAGAATAGTGAGGAAGGGATGAAGGGCGATGAAAGAGAAGAAAGGTAGACAGGGACTACTCTAAACAATGATGACACGGTATTTTACTATTATATTAGAGGACCTTCATAGAAGATGGATTTTTTTTTTTTAAGCCCAAAGGTTTTTTTGTTACTCCTTGTACCTCATCCCCGGTGACTCAAAATAGATTTTTATTTGACTTGTCTATACGTTTTAAGTGTTCTTGTGACAAGTTTGATAATGGTCAACATTATTTTCTTGAAGCTATGACTAGTGTTTGGTCTGTGAGCTGAGAGTTTTTTCTAACAATGTGTTTATTTCTCTTTGTCCCTATTCCTTTTAGATTTAGCATGCATGCTCTTATAGTAAGTTTTAGTTTATTTAGTTCAACTCAAGAATTAAAATAGAGAATTTTCTACATTTGTGAGTTTTGTATATTACTAAAATATCTAGATGTTTTTTATCAAAGATTAGAAGATTGGTATAAATAAGATTCAAGACAGATTAAATAAGTAGATGCTTTGATTTTAAAAGGTGTATGAAAATTTATTTAATATAGTTCACTGAATTCAGATAATGACCTCTTACGTGTTTATTCTGTTAAGAGATTCAGCAACTCTTGGAAGCATATAGCTGTTAAGAGTTGGCTAATTGGATTTACCGCAGGGTGGAAATAGAACACAAAGATGTTACCTATATCCATAGTCCTATGGAAAAGCAGACAATCATAATATATATCCAGCTTCTCACACAGACCAAGTTTCTCTTGTAACACCTAGATTCCGTTTCTCCCCTGAAATTGTATATAGATGATGAAAACTTTGAATGGGATTTTTAACATCATATTTATCCAGAGGGCATTCTCTGTTTTCAGAAACATAGTTGAGAACTAAGAATCAAAGTAAATGAATTTGAGTTCAGTATTACTTGCCACTGCACATTTATGATGTATAACATGAGGCTTATTAAAGTGGATCTTCCATTTGCTACCTGATGGACATTGGATTAGGCACTCAGCCTGTTTCCTCATCTACAGAATGAGGATGCAAAACCTGGTGATCATGAGGAGTAAATGAAATTGTATATGTGTATTTGCTTTGGAATCCATAAAGCACTATACAAATAAAAAAGACTGTGTTTAGATGAGTTATTCAATTACCAGAAGTAAAGAGCAGTTGCTCAGAACATTGACCTAGCATACATTTATCTTGGCCATCTGACTTCTCAAATTGGGGGAAATAAATGGTGCTAAAATTGAAAAAGCAAAGATTAGTAGAAGACACACTGATAATAATTACTGAGTGTCTCTTTTCTGCCCAGTACTCTACTAGGTACTAACAGAACAAAAAATACTTTTTACACATTAGGAAAACTAAGTATTCTATGACTTGCCCAGGATTTCTGGTTTGTGAAAGGCTAGGCAAGGACAACAACCCATGTCTCCATGTTTAAACATCATCCTCTTTATACTAATCTGTAAATTCTGGCCCTGAAAACTAAGTTTTCAAGATAATCTCGCTGACCTAGCACACCTCATTCTCCAGCACTTCCTCATAGATCTGCACCCAATAATCATATATACTTGTATTTTGGACACTAAAGATTTGTAGGGTTTTTGTTTTGTTTTGTTTTGCTTTTCAAAGATTGTACATTAACATAGTTGTCATCATCATTTTATCATGTAGCATTTTACGGTGTTCGCGGGGAAGGGCCTTGACGTGGCAACACCGCTTCTTAACTAACGCTTCCCCTCTCACACCTAACTTAACTTCCTAACCTCCCTGTTCCCACTGTTCTTTTCTTCACTTCCAGTAGGCTGTCATTAAATTTTCCTTCCCCGTTATCAGTGCCACTGCTTTTTCTTTCCCATGTTCACAGTCTTTTATTTCGAGGGCTGTTTAGTCATCCTAGCTGTGCCATTTTCTCCAGAGCCTTGGGATTCTGTGTTTGGTACCTCTGAGCAGAATATCTAAAAGCATTCTTTTGTATTCCAAGACTTATAGGATGCTCCTTGTTAACAAAACAGAACAAAAAATTGAGCTCAGAATAAAGGGCTTTTTTTTCCAAATAGTGGTTCTGATACATTCTTAATGTTGTCCTAAGAAATGCCTGTGATTTAAGTATGTTGTGTATATTTGTATGTGTCACCACACATTTGATTGGGTACAAGTATCCTTAGAACAACACTTGCTTAAAAGTATGTTTTTGATTAATGAAGAGCTTTGGCATTAACAGCCAGAATGTCCTAACTTAGTAGTGCTGCCAAAATACTTGGGTTGTTGTTTTTTTTTTAATGAGTTATCCATCACACAAAGCATTATACAGCTTGGCATTCAAATACATGGGTCTCTTACCAAAAGATCACTTAAACAATTTCATAGTAAGACGCCATCATGTAATACTTGAAGTGCTGAGACAAGTTTCTGGTGTATGTGTGGAGAGGTTTTTTTGGATGTAAGGGGAGAGAGGCAGGTTGAGGCTAAAATTCCCTAATTATTTTACTCTTCTAAATGTTTCTTATTAAAACGTATTTACCATATTTGTTAGAACCCAGCTGGCCTGTTGATTTTTTTTTTTGTTTTGTTTAATGCCACTTTTCCATTCATTGTTGGATTTGCAAATAAGGAAAACTACTTCTAGGGCCTTTTTAGAAGACAAATTATCTTTTCCTACTGACAGCTAAGAGATCCTCTTTTTTGGTAGTGGTGAGGGTAAGTAAGATTGATGAAGTTGGTACTTTAGGTTATTAGTGATGTATTCTAAAGCCCAGGGTTATGCAATATTTGTTTAATTATGGTGTCACTTTCTATCTTAACTCTGTCTTAATTCTTTGTCCTAAGCAGCTCTTAGGTTTATTAAGATTTTTCTATTCTGTAGTAGAAAGTATTAAGGTAGGAATTGTACATGATGCAATGCTTTGATGTCACACAAGAATAAAGCACAGACATCAGAGTTTTTTTAACCTATAACAAAGTATAATGTGAAAGATAATTTTTAAATTTTAGGAATAGTAATAAGGAGTTCTTTCCGTCCTGGCTTTGGGCTTTACCATTTCATTGTCTTTACATTCCTAAGAGCTTGTATTCCTCTGACCTTTAGCTGTAGCCTCAACTTTGTAAGTAATGGTGATGGTGGTGGTCCAGGGGTTTATCTTAAGGAAAGAGAAATACTGTGATTTTCGGACTTGACTTTACCTGTGATGCATATGAAGAATTCCTGGAAAGAATGAAAACACAGAATTCATGAAGTGTGAGCCTTTACTCCTTGAGTATCTTTAACTTGAACAGTGACATTCCAGATTGTTCTTGTTTTCAGAGTACATCCAAGCCATTATGATGATGGAGGAATCTGTTCAGCATGTTGTCATGACAGCCATTCAGGAGGTATGTTGGAGCTTTATGCTTACTGTTTGTGAGAAATTGAAGGAGCAAACTGGAACTTAAATAGTAGATGTAGAAATTTTAAAAAGAGATTCTCCTCATTTTTTGAGAATTTTTTTCTTTGTACTTACGATAATAGCTTGCCTCGTTTTTATTACAAAAACATTTAAATTTCTCATTTGTATTTAAATCTTAAACATTTGTCTATTGGTATAGATATTCAGTAACTACTACTAATTTTTAAAAATGTCCCAATGAACTAGAAATAGTAGACTAATTCCTAAAGCCATTATAAATATATATCTTAAACCAGCAGTCTACCTCACACTTAGTTATTGGTTTCTTGTTTGGCAGAAAGTGGGTCTTCAACTCCAACCATACCCAAAGCTATTTCTAGTTGAATATACCAAAACTGTAGGGGAGGAAAAATTATCTTTTTCTTTTACCCATTCAAGTTCTCAACTGAGACCTCTGTATCAAAGGACAGATTAACAAGAAAAAGGATACAAATGTATTTAATGTAAGTTTTACATAACATCGAGACCTTCTTAAGGAAATGAAGACCAAAGAAGTGTTTATTTTTTATTTAGTTTTTCAAAGAAGCGTTTAAACCTGAGTACTTTGGTGCTAGGTTTGATGAAGAGTGGAGAATCATGGAAAAATGTGATAGGGCAAATAAGGGTTTGAGTTAAGGGTAGTAACCTGGGGGAAACAGCAAGTCCTGTTGATTCAGAGTCCTTTCAGAATCCCTGTGTCTTCAGAGATAAGGATTCTTCTTTCCTTTGAGTATAGGGAGGGCACCTCTCACATGAGGCTTTTCTGACCTGCTTTCTGTACCTGCTATTTCTCCAATTCCTTCAGCTTGAAGTATTCAGTATGCCAAGGAGCCGTACTTTGGGGTAGCATGTCTTGAACTCCATCAAATGTGAAACATAAAATTATAAAAGTAAAAATAAAATGTAGATTAATAACCAGTTGATCTCAGGATGTGAGAATGTTTTTAATCATAAAAGTGGAAAAAAATAAAAGTGGAACAAACGGGTACTAGAGAACAATATAGGACTTGAACGTGCAACTGACAGAAAAAAATACAACAGACAACATGAAAAATGCTAAGTGCAAATTAAGTAAAGTTGTGTTTTTCAAAAATCTGACCATCTGTCTGTAAATCCAGGAGTTCCCACTACCCCCTCAGGGTTCTGATTCACAGAACTCAGGAATGATGACAGTATCACTATAGAGAAAGAATACAAACCAGAACCAACTCCCCCCACCCCAAAAATTAATACAGTGAGGTCTAGGAGGTCCCAGATGCAAAGTTTCTGTTGTTCCCTCTCCATGGAATTAAGACCTGTCACACTCCCAGCACATTACTGTGTGGCAATTCTAAAGTACTGCCATCAAGGGAGGCTCACCTCAGTTTTCATGTCCAAAGTTTTTACTGGGGTTTCATTATGTAGGTATGATTGATTGTATCAGTGACCATGGGGTTGAACGCAGTTTCCAGCTCTCCTCCCCTGCAGAAGTCAGGCTGATTTTCAAGTGGCTCAAAGACCCAGGCTGATACATGGCTGGTTTTGCTGGCATGGCCAGCCCCCAATTTCAGTTATCCAACTTTTTAGCTTAAACTACCTAGGGGCCCACAAATAACAAAGATAATCTTATCAGTAAGGAAATTCCAGAGATTGAGAGGCTGCTTGCCAATAACAGGACAAAGGCCAGCCAAATTCCTTACTACACAGGACCTTTCAAAAACACAAAGCTTTTAAAAGACGATCAGTTTAGCAGTCAGCTCTGATGGTAGGAAGATAAACTGGTACATCTTTTTAAAAATATTATACTCTTTATATCATATGAGATATTAGGTCATGAGTGTTAAAATATCAAAATGATGATCTCTCAAGCAAGATAGAAATTATTTTGCTCTTAAGTGGTCCTGGATTCTGCTCTATAGTCATCAGGGACCCAGCTTTCTTGTTTCTTATTGTCTGCCATCCTTAATACATGTTTCCTACTTAGTGGTTCAGCTGTGGCTTCTCAAGTTCCAGCTACCACGTTCCATTTCCAGCCGTCAGGAAGGACTGAAGGAAGAGTTATCCACTTCCTCTAAATAAACTTTAAGCAATTCTCATTTATGTTAGCCAGATATTACTCACATAGCCACACAGGGAAACCATGGGAAATGTGATCTTTATTCCAGGTAGTCACAAAGCCAGCCAAAATATGAGGAGTCTGTTACTAAGCAAAAATAGGAAAAAGAATAAGGGGCCACTAACAGTTCTGCCTTACTATAATTGATCCTGTAATTCTGTTTTTAGGAATTTATCCTAAGGAGATCTGAAATACAGAGATACATAGCAGTAATCGTGATAGCAGACATTTATCTTGAACCTACTGTGTGCTAGATAGTGTTGGTACTTATTAAACACATTATGTCTATTAACTCATTTAAAATTCACCACAATTATAATTAATGCTACTAAAATGTAGACTTAAAATTGTTAAAATGGCAAATTTTATGTTCTATATATTTTACCAAAATTTTAAAAAATGAGTAATTGTGATATTTTGAGGTATATGCTGTTATTGTCCCCATTTTATAAAAGGGGAAACTGAAGCATAGACAATGTGAGTAACCTCAAGTTCACACAAAAAGTAGTGGCAGAGTTAGAACTCAGGTTTAAGCAGTCTGAGTTCAGAGCCCACACCCAGAACCATTATGCTATATTGCCTCAAGATTGTTTATTTCAGCATTATTTTCTAGTACTGAAACATTAGAAATAATCAAACTGCCCAGCAATTGGGGCACAGATAAATAAATTACAGTAGAATAATATATTGGCATATTAGGTAACATTAAAGTGTATTTTTGGAAAATATATAACAATATGTGTAAGGCTTATTAGGGAAACAGAGCACATGAGCAATATAATCCCATTTCTTTTAAAAAGAGAAATTAAGATGAGTGAAAATGACAAAATGTTAACCATCTCCAAATGGTTGGATGTTCTGTGCTCTTTTCTGTATTTGCCAATTTTTCTGTAATTACAGGTTTGTAATTACAATCAGGAATATTTTTAAAATTAAAACCTATGACCAAATGATTTTTAATTCTGTGAACCTAGCCCAAGGAATTATTTAGAAAAGCAGACGAAGATTGGGCACAACAGTGTTTATCAAACTATTTTATATAACTTTTTAAAAGTTTATTTAAGTTAATCTCTACTAGATGCAGTGTGGGGCTTGAATTCACAACCCCAAGATCAAGAATCACGTGCTCTTCCGACTGAGCCAGCTAGGCACCTCCAAACTATTTTATATTAATAGAAATATGACAACAGTGTGCATCCACTGGGAAGCAAGTGTTTAAATTAGGGTACCTCCATCTCATGGAATATTTTATAGCTGATACTAACTTGTTTTTAAAAAATTATCTTATGGGGCTCCTGGCTGGCATAGTCAGTTGGGCATCTGACTCTTGGTTTTGTCTCAGGTTGTGATCTAGCATCCTGAGACACGACCTGAGACAAAACCAAGGTGTGTGTGTGTCCCCCCCCACTTGGTGAATCTGTGCTCAGTGTGGAGTCTGCTTAAGACTCCCTCTCCCTCTGTGTCCCCCCACATACACACACGTTCTCAGTCTCTAAAATCAATCAATCAATCTTTTAAAAAAAGAATAAAGTATCTTATGACAAAGGGAAAACAGTTAAAATGTCAAGGGAGGGGCATCTGGGTGGCTCAGTCGGTTAAGCGTCTGCCTTGGGCTCAGGTCATGATCCCAGTGTCCTAGGATCGAGCCCCACATCAGGCTCCCTGCTTGGTGGGGAACCTGCTTCTCTCTCTCTATCAAATAATTAAATAAAATCTTAAAAAGGTTAAAATGTCAAGCGAACAAAGCAATATATTAAGTTGTACATACAATTAGATTTTAAGAATAGATTATATGTCTTTCATATGCATATTCCTTTTGTTCATTTAGAACATACCATCAAGCACCTAATATACACCAAGAGCTGGTAGTAGGCATTCAGGATATAATTATGAAAAAGACAGACATGGTCTCTTGCCTCCACAAAGTCTAAATCTTATCGGAGAAATGGCTAACCAAGCAATTCACATACATTCAAAACATTCAAAATGAAGAGTACGATAATGGGAAAAATATTAGGAGTACCTCAAAAGAGTAGCTAAGTCATTTTGGGGACTTAAGGGAAGGCTTCTCAGAGAAGGTGGCATCTTGACTGAGCATGGAAGGATGAGATGAGGTAAGGAAAGGGCAAAAATTGTTCTCAAGTCCAGGAGGCAAGAGAAAGCAAGACCTACATGGAATGTTGGATGTTCTGAAAGAAGAATGCCTATAGTAAACACAGTAAGGTAGGAAGTGCTTAGAAATTAAACAAGAGACCTAAAGTCATTAGAATATTGAGCAGTTTCATTAGGATTAGGGAGTTGGGATTTTGGAAATCCGTGAATAGATTTTAAGGAGAAAATACATTAAAGTCTATATTTAAGAAAATCCATATGAAGAGAAGAATGGTTTGGAGGAAAACTGGGCTAGAAAAACAGAGAGCAGTTAAGAGACTTTGGTAATTATCCAGCGAAGAATGATGGAAGCCTGAACTAGGTTATGGCAGTCAGGGTGGAGACAAGTGGACAGATTTGAAAATTATAGGAGCTTGAATCAATAGGCTTGGTGACTAATTGGACTTAGGGGGGAAGGGGGGGTAGCTGGATAGAATAATGGAAGTAAGAAAGGCTTCTGTAAAATGGTAGCCTTTTTTTTTTTAAGGACATTCTATTTATATTTCTTTATCTACTGACATTTATTTACTGTAGTAAAATACACATAACAAAAATTTGCCATTAGTGACATTTAGTATGTTCATAATGTTGTGCAAACATTATCACTATTTTGTTCCAGCACTTTTTCCATCACCAAAAAAGGAAACCCTGTACACCCACTACACAGGCCATTCTCATTTCCTCCTCGCTCCAGCCCATGGCAACCAGTAATCTGCTTCCTGTCTGTATGAATTTCCCCATTCTGGATATTTCATATAAATAGAATCATATGATATGTGGCCTTTTGTGTCTATCTTTGTTCATTTAGCACAATATTTTCAAGGTTATTTTGTAGCATTTATCAATACTTGTTCCTTTTTATGGCTGAATAATCCATGGTATGGGTGTGCAACATTTTGTTTATTCATCAGTTGAGGAACATTTGGCTGTTCCTACTTTTGGCTATTGTGAATAATGCTGCTGTGAATGTTAGTATATGGGTTTTTTGTTTTTGTTTTTTTTTTTAACAGCCGCTATTAATTCTTTTGGGCATGTTGAAATTGAATTTCTCCGTCATATGGTAATTCTATGTTTAACTTTTTGAGGAAGCACCAACTTGTTTTCCACAGATCCTGTAGCATTTTACATTCCTACCAGCAGTGTACTAGGATTCTGTTTTTTCCACCTCTTTGCCAACCCTTGTTAGTGTCCTTTTTTTTTTTTTTTTTTAAAGATCCATTCATTTATTTTAGAGAACACACAAGCAGGAGGGGAAGAGGGAGAGAGAGAAACTCAAGTAGACTGTGCTGAATGTGGAGCCTGATGTGGGGCTCGATCCCATGACCCTTGACATCACAACCTGAGCTGAGGAACCAAGAGTCAGACACTCAACCGACTGCACCACCTAGGCACCTCTGCCCATCTTTTTATAAAAGCCATGCTACTAAAAAAGCTGAGAAGAGATTGGGTCAGGGAGCACAAGTGGAGAGATTAGCCTTCAATGGGAAGAATAGCACTTTTGTTAAAACAAGATTGAAAAAGGAAAAGATGGGCATGAACCTTGCCAATTTTATGGATTAAGACGTGGGAAATTCTTATTTGCAGACAAGGTTTTCTGATGAAGAGTGCAGAGGTTTGAGAAGTAGGAAAGGTTTAGAAAATCTCTAAAAGGAAAAAAAAGACTGCTGACTAGGGAATAATCTCTAAAAGGAGAAAAGAGACTGCTGACTAGGAAAACATAACTGTACTTTTGGGGCAACTTTAAAGGCCCAATTGAAAATGGAAACTATATATTAATAGTGTTTTATGATTTAAATTTTGTTTTGTTTTTTCACTCTCATAGTACTTAGCAGTCTGGTGTATGGCCAGAAGAGATAGGTGGGTGGATTGATTTTAGACTGAGATTTTGCCAGGACAAAGGAAAGGAATAGAGGATAAGAAAATTGAGATATTGACAAAGGTCATCAACATAAAAGACTGAAAAATCTAGGCTAGATAGTAGAAGGCAGTTGGTTAAACAGATGATGAACCCTGGAAGCTAAAGCAGGGGAGGGAAATTCCCAAAAATAAGATGATGATGTTAGCAGAAGAAGGAGGAGTAAATGTGAGCAGGAAAAAACAATAATGTTTACTATAAAGTCTAAGGAGAGTAAAGAAGAAAGTGAATATCAGAATGATGGGTTCTCACTAGAAGGCCAGGAGAAAGGAGGGAGATAAAGGGCTTGGAAACCTCAAATTGAGGAGCACATAAACTAAACGTAATTGAATGAGAGACCAGAGTTGAGAAAAGGTTATATTCAGAGTGTAGGACACCTCGGGTTTTTTGGGTTTTTTTTTAATTTTATTTTTTTAAGATTTATTTATTTATTTATTAGAGAGAGAGAGCATGAGAGGGGGGAAGGGCAGAGGGAGAAGCAGACTCCCTGCCGAACAAGGAGCCCGATGTGGGACTCGATCCCGGGACTCCAGGATCATGACCTGAGCTGAAGGCAGTCGCTTAACAGACTGAGCCACCCAGGCGCCCGGACACCTCAGTTTTTATTCAGAGTTTACTGTGTTATGATGAGGACTTAACTATAACGGTAGGAAAAGGAAAAAGACTGGGAGAAAATGCTCCTAGTCCTTCTGCCACCTGCCTCTGATTAGACCCTGTCTCTCTGAGCCCTCAGAGCCTTTATCACACTACAGTATGCTTGTCTTTCTCACTTGACCTGTGTGTGCTACACCCATGGATGGTACCTTCTTAAATATTTCAAAATTATAAAGGTGATTGCTTGTAGATGGTAGAATAATGGTTTTTTCTTCTTATATTTTTATGAATTGTATATTCTTTACAATGGGATTATTTTTTCAGTTGGAAGAAGTCTTAAAAAAATCTTAAGATTAATATTGTCACAAGAAAAGCATGAACAGGGGCGCCTGGGTGGCTCAGTCGTTAAGTGTCTACCTTCGGCTCGGGTCATGGTCTCAGGGTCCTGGGATCAAGCCCCACATCAAAAAAAAAGAAAGAAAGCCATAAACTTTGAAGCCGGTAGTTTTTTTACTCTTACTGAGATTTTTTTTTTTTCCTAGTTATGCTGAGGGACTTTGAAATCTTCTCATCCCATTAATATAGAGCAGTAATTCTCAAATTTCAGTATGTATCAGAGACCTGGAGGACTTTATTAAGTATGTTGCAGAGCCCTAACCCCACAATTTATGAGTCAGTACATCTGGACTGGGACCCAGTAATTTGCATTTCTGGAGAGTTTCCAAGCAATGCTGATGGTTTGAGAACTTCACTTTGAGAACCACTGATAAGGAGAAAAAAGTACAGCTGAACATAACATTTCAGTTCTTTTTTTTTTTTTTTAAGATTTTATTTATTTGACAGAAAGAGACATAGCGAAAGAGGGAACAGAAGCAGGGGGAGTGGGAGAAGCAGGCCTCCCGCCGAGCAGGGAGCCTGATGCGGGGCTCCATCCCCGGACCCTGGGATCATGAACCGAGCCGAAGGCAGATGCTTAACGACTGAGCCACCCAGGTGCCCCATAACATTTCACTTCTCTCAGAGTGGTCCTGAAGGCTGAAATTACAAGATCTCTCAACAGTGCATCCCCACATTTCTAATTGTACCCCTTTCTTTTGTCCTTCAGACAGAACAAAAGAAAGAAACAGTAGAAAATTGGGACCATTTGAGTCTGCCCCTGATACTTGTCACAATCAGAATTTTATCTCCTTTCCCCCAAACCCTCACACATTATGGATCCTCTCTGCAACACAAGGGTGAGAGAGGCTAAGACGTGTGTGTGTGTGTGTGTTATAAACATCAGCCAGTTCATTTTGGCTAATATTGATGTTGCCCATATTTATTCTTTAGATAGAGTTACTTAAGTGTTGCTGTTTTTTACTGAAAAGTCAGTTTTAAAACATTTAGCCACTTTTTTTTTTAAAGATTTTATTTATTTATTTGACAGCGAGAGCAGGAACACAAGCAGGGGGAGTGGGAGAGGGAGAAGCAGTCTTCCTGCCGAGCAGGGAGCCGGATGCGGGGCTCGATCCCAGGACCCTGGGATCATGACCTGAGCCAACGGTAGACGCTTAATGACTGAGCCATGCAGGCACCCCAGCCACTTTCTAAACTTAAAGATTTGTCTTAATTCTTATGACTGGGCTTACCGTAAAAATGAGCACCAGAATTTAGACCTGTAATTTTAAATGAAGACATTATCCTGGGATGAAATTTCAGACTGAAAAGTTTCACTGTGTAGGACAATGTACCTTTTACATTTGTGTTTTCATTTTAATTTTTATAATTCTGTGGTGGCCAGGTGTTCATGTTGTTGTCTAAGTATATTTTATATGATGTCATTTTTGCCTCATAGTTACAATCTTAATTTAAATCTTAATTTTAGCTGATGAGTAAGGAATCTCCTGTCTCTGCTGGAAACGATGCCTATGTTGACCTTGATCGCCAGGTATCTAATTTTGCATTGTTTTTATCCATTTAGAGATTGAAAAGAATAAACTTCAGATATTAATGAAAAGAATGTTTCAGTTGAATTTGCTTATAGAATGTATTGGTTTATTATTTACTTAAATTCAAGACTTAAGCTACTTTACTAGTGGATATTACACATTTGTAATTAAATTTATAATTTGTAGTTAAAATATTGCATGACCCACTTTAAAATAAATTAACTTTAAGTCATTGTAATTCGTGTTTTCTAGTCGTGATTTTTCTTTTCCATTGGTGATATCTTTCTGTATGCCACATTTAACACAACAGATGCATTCCTGGAAAGTGGCATGCATTTTAATCTTATGATTTACAAAATACCTTTTATTTCACATGAGTCTTCCATTGCATATGTCTCTTCCACCCTTCATCTTTGTGAAGGATTGAACGGTCAGTAGATATTTAAATGTACTGAGGAACCTACTGTATTTCTAAAGGAACTCTGCAGTATATTCTTGCGGGTTTTTTTTTCTTTTAAGATTTTATTTATTTGACAGAGAGACAGCGAGAGGGAATACAAGCAGGGGGAGTGGGAGAGGGAGAAGCAGGCTTCCCGCTGAGCAGGGAGCCCGATGCGGGGCTCGATCCCAAGATCCTGGGATCATGACCTGAGCCAAGGGTAGACTCTTAACGACTGAGCCACCCAGGTGCCCCTATTCTAGCGATTTTAACCAAAAAGTCATTTTGTAATTTTAATTACTGCTTTCCAATAAAATACTGCAACTTAAATTGTCAGTTTCTATATTCCATCTGTCCTGGGACATTGTTCCAAAGTGTGAATAGAAATCTTCGTGTTATCCTCTCTTATTTCTTCCCAGTGGTTTCTAAATGTTTTGTAGGAAAATCTTTGGACATGATAAAATTTTAACCTGAGTTGTAATTTGCTTCCCTTACTTTGTGATATTAGATTTTTTTTTTTTTTTAAGATTTTATTTATTTATTTGACAGAGAGATAGCGAGAGCAGGAACACAAGCAGGGGGAGTGGGAGAGGGAGAAGCAGGCTGAGCAGAGAGCCCGATGCGGGACTCGATCCCAGGACCCTGGGATCATGACCTGAGCCGAAGGCAGACGCTTAACGACTGAGCCACCCAGGCGCCCGTGATATTAGATTTTAAAGTTGTTGCCTTGTATGATTTTTTTTTTGTATCTATTATTACACAGAGGTTTGGTCACATGAAAGGAAAAGCTATTATAATTTTTTATATCAATTTTTTTCTTTTTTAAAATTAAGTAATCAGTTTTAATTAATTTGTTCATGCGTTGCTAACTTAGGGTTTATGGGACACAACTCAGAAATGTTTGGCTTGTGTTGAGAATCAGAATAATAATATTTTTAAAACTGTGTTGTATAAATTAATATAAAGGTTTAATATGACTGAAGAACTTGTGTTGAATTACTTTTAGCTATATATTTCAACAATTGAAACCCTCATCCTCTAGCACATACATATGTTATCAAGGGAAATTTTCTCAGTTATTACAGAATCAACATTACCAAGAATCATGTAGCCCAGATAGGAAAGTGTAAGAAAACTTGATAAGAGGAAAGAACCAGATTCAGAGTACCGAAAAGACAAGACTTAGGACCAGAAGATCTTCAAAGTTAGAAATGGCTGCTTTTGACTCTTCAGAAGAGTTCTTGATTTCTCCCTGCCCCTCAGAAAGAAATGAAAGTGTTTTAATTCTTTATTGTGCCTATGTAATTATTAATTGTTGCTACTTCATATTGAAATGTTTATTGTATCTCTTTATTTCTAACTAGTTGAAGAAAACTACAGAGGAACTAAATGAAGCTTTGTCAGCAAAAGAAGAAATTGCTCAAAGATGCCATGAACTGGATATGCAGGTAAGAGATCTTTTCTGTGTACCACCTATTTGAAATGCACCACTAAAAGCAACACCAAATGTGCTGTGTACTACCATACAGTGTAGTTTGGCTATCATGCAATCCTAATTAAAAAAAGGGGGGAAACAGATTTTTGGTTAAAGATAGTATACACATCAAATATATTAATTTTCTTTCCTTCCTGCATCCCCATTAAATTTATAATAAATGAATGAAAATGGTATAAGGACACAAGAAAAGAAAGGAGGGATATCTGTGCTAGCTTTAGGGAGGGGTGGAGGGAGATTTTTTTTTAAGCCCTCATTTGTAGGGTTTGCCAATATCCATAGTGGATACTCAATTTACATAAAGGCCAGCTTTTTATAGATAAGCCCTAATGTGAAGCTCATGAATGCATAGCTTACAGTTACCCTTGCTTTGACTACTTAATTAAGGAAAATCTGCATTACAAAAGAGAAAAGGAGCAAGATAAATAGGAAAGTAGTCCTAGAGGAAGTGGAGAAATTTGGGGTAGTAGCAGAGATTAATCTTATTAATCTATTTAATACCCTCAGTGAAATTAGTAAAGACACTAAAATCAGAAATCAAACACTAAGTAAATTAAAGATAGAATTGTTGAAGTAAAAAATTTCGCCTTTGCCAAATTATAGAGCTGAAGCAGTTTCTTCACTGTCTAGAGAAGGAAAGCTGTAAGGCACTCTAATTGCAGGGAAGTCAAGAGGAATTGACTAAGGAGAAAGAGAAGCCTGGTAGGTTGGTACAGAAACCAAAAGAGTAAGGTGTCCTGGCAGCCAAGTGAAGAAACTGCTTCAGGGAGGAGGGTGTGATCGGTTGTGTCATATGTTGATTATTCACAGTGACATGGAAGTGTCAGTAGTGATCCTGATGAGCAGTTCTGTGGAATGGTAGGGCCAGTAGCCCAACTAGAATGAGTTCAAGAGAAAGTGGGCAATGGCAAGTGAGAATTAGAAATGGCAGTTAACTTTTGTTTTATAGCTTTATTGAGCTGTAATTAACATATAATAAACTTCATATTTAAGGTATACAATTTTGATGCATGTTGACATATGTATGAATGTGTGAAAACATTACCACAATTAATATAATGAACCCGTCACCTTCATGTTTCCTCATGACTCTTGGTATTCCCCCTCCAGTCCCCAACTCTGCATTTTCACTATAGATTAGTTCATATCTTCTAGAGTTGCATATAAAAAGAGTCATACATTGTATATACTCTTTTTTTTTGTCTGACTTCTTCCATTATTTTGTGATTGATTCATTTTGACAGTATCAGTAGTTCTTTTTCTACTGCCAAATAGTATTCTATTATATGAATATACTAGAATTTTTCCATTCACCTGTTGATGAACATTTGTGTTGTTTCTAGTTTTTCTCTATCACAAACAAAACTGCCCTAACATTCTTTATAAGTCTTTGTGTGGGCCTGTGCTTTTATTTCTCTTGAGTAAGTAAATACTGGCTGGGTCATGTGGTAGTTGCATGTTTAATTTTTTTTGGAAAATGCAAAGCTGTTTTCCAAAGTGCTTGAAGCATTTTACATTCTCACCAGAGATGTATGAGACTTCCATTGGTTCTACATCTTTAGGGGCACCTGGGTATGTCAGTCGGTTAAGCATCTGACTCTTGATCCCAGCTCAGGGCATGATCTCAGGGTCATGAGTTCAAGCCCTGTTGGGCTCTGCGTGGAGACTACTTTAAAAAAAAAAAAGGAAAAAAAGTTCTGCATCTTTCCCAACACTTGGTATAGCCAATATTTTTTATTTGAGCCATTCTAGTAAGAGTGTATTGGTATAACATTGTGGTTTTAATTTGCATTTCCTTAATAATTAATCATGAGTATCTTTTTGTGTGCTTAGTTGCCATTTATGTATCGTATTTGGTGAACTGTCTTTCCAGATATAAAGAATGATCTCTTGCTTACTCTTACATATTGCTCTGCCTGTGCAGTATTGCAAAGTAATGTAATAGTTTTAAGTGAAAGTTGATTAAAACAGGCTTTCATAATGCTAATTCACAAGTGATTATGCTGATGCCAGTGTAATTGGAAGAAATAATTGCTGTCTTCCTATGTTCTAACAGGTTGCAGCATTGCAAGAGGAGAAAAGTAGTCTCTTGGCAGAGAATCAGGTATTAATGGAAAGACTTAATCAATCTGATTCTATAGAAGATCCTAACAGTCCTGCAGGAAGAAGGCATCTGCAGCTCCAAACTCAGCTGGAACAACTCCAAGAAGAAACATTCAGGTAAAGGACCACTCACTAAGGTCTAATTTTTAAAAATTTGGTAACTGTCTTTTAATGTTAAAAATGTAGTGTTAGGGGTGCCTGGGTGGCTCAGTTGGTTAAGTGACTGCCTTCGGCTCAGGTCATGATCCCAGAGTCCTGGGATCGAGTCCTGCATCGGGCTCCCGGCTCAGCGGGGAGCCTGCTTCTCCCTGTGGCCCACTCCCCTCTCATGCTGTTTCTCTCTCGCTTGCTCTAATAAATAAATAAAATCTTTAAAAAAAAAAATGCAGTATTAGGACTTTTGGGTAGCTGCAGACCAAATAATAATAAACAACTTCCCCCATATCTTCCCACATGACATGAAATAACTTTATGTCTAGGAAAAATTCTATCAAATCTACACCCTCGGGAGCATCTGGGTGGCACAGTCAGTTAAGTGTCCAGTTCTTGGTTCCAGCTCAGTTCATGATCTCAAGGTTGTGAGACCGAGCCCCATGTGGGGCTCTGCGCAGGGCATGGAGCCTGCTTGGGATTCCCTCTCTCCCTTTCCGTCCCCCGCCTTAAATATATAAATAAATCTTTAAGGAAAAAAAAAATACATGCTCATTATTACCTGAAGACAGAATGCCTCAACCGAAATATAATTGACGGAAACAAACATGAGCCACACATCCCACACACCTGTCCTACCCTATTCTGCTAGGTACTTTGAGGCAAGTGAAGGCAGACTGACAAAAAAAATTAGAGGAAGACAGAAAAACACTAGTGAAGGGGCCTGAGGGTAAGTTGGAGAGATCACCAGAAAGATTAAATTCACTCAAAATCTGAAACTACTTTTAAAATAAAGATTATGGGGCGCCTGGGTGGCTCAGTCATTAAGCGTCAGCCTTCAGCTCAGGTCATGATCCCAGGGTCCTGGGATCGAGCCCCGTGTCGGGCTCCCTGCTCCGCAGGAAGCCTGCTCTCCCTTCCCACTCCCACTGCTTGTGTTCCCTCTTTCACTGTGTCTCTCTCTGTCAAATAAATAAAATCTTTAAGAAATAAATAAATAAAGATTAGACTACAAACTTCAGGGGAAAAATTTTATAGTTAAGTACATCGTCTTAAAGGACCAGTCACCATAAAAACATAAAGGCTCTGAATTTAAAGAGACACAATATAAAGGCCAGGTGCCTGATTTATAGAGACAGACTTATTTAAAAGGCAAACTGATTTAAAGGGACAGTCTTCTAAACATCTTCTTGGAGAGGAAAAGGCCAAAAGGAAGGAAGGATGACCCTTTGGCAATTGGACAGTGAAAGGGAAAAGGAGAAAAGGAAAAATTTGGTGTCCTGCCAGACAAAACAGAACCATAAAATTGAAGGACTTAGCAGTAAGAAATAGAATATCTTACCTTAACACGAAAGAATAAAAATGATTTTTAAGTCTTCTCTAAAACTTTAGAAATCATCCACCTCCTATGGTCTACATCAGCAATTCAAGATGTGGTCTGAGGACCCCTTTCAGGTTCACTGAGACCCTTTCAGAGAGTCTTCCAGACCTCTCTTTCCTAACTACGTATCTGTGCAAGGGTAGATTTCCTTCATATATTTCAGCCAAAAAGCCATCACAACAGATGAATATAGAAATAGCTATGACAACCCAGCTGTTTTCTATTAAACTGGATTATTTGAATCATAAAAGTGTTTCTCACTTTTTGCCTAGAATATAGTTATTTTTTTATAAACTGTGTGTTGTCTATAATAATATAATGGGTTTGTTACTGTTATTTTCAATGTATTTAGATGTTTTAATTTCTCAATATGATAGATAAACATCAATAGATAAAACTTAGATAAACAAAGTTCTTTGTAATTTCAGTAATTTTAAGAGTGTGAAGGAGACCAAAAAGTTTTGAGTACTGTCATCTGCATCTTGACTTTTTTTTTTTTTTAAAGATTCATTTTTCATTTATTTTTGAGAGAGAGAGAGTACACACGAGCTGGGGTAAGGGGCAGAGGGAGAAGCAGATTCCCCACTGAGTAGGAAGCCCGATGCAGGACTCGATCCCAGGACCCCTGGGATCATGACCTGAGCTGAAGGCAGACATTTAACCGACTGAGCCACCCGGGTGCCCTGCATCTTGACTTTCTAAGACAGAATCAGTAGGTAGTAGAATTTAAGTATGACTTTATCCTTTTGTTTCTAAATTGTGGCTAGTTTTTTAAAATATGGTTTGGGGAAGTGATATTTAGAATTGTCCTGCATTTTCATAATGAAGGAAATAGTGTCTCATGCTTTTATCGTTGCAATACATACGCAATTTATATTTTGAAGCACTTAAACAATTCAAATACTTTATTAGTACTATATATTTATATATTTCAGTTTTAATTTTTTTTGAGAGAGAGCACAAGAGAGGGAGAGCTCACGTATAAGAGGGGCAGAGAGAGGGCGCCTGGGTGGCTCAGTTGGTTGAGCGACTGCCTTCGGCTCAGGTCGTGATCCTGGAGTCCCGGGATCGAGTCCCACGTCGGGCTCCCTGATCAGCAGGGAGTCTGCTTCTCTCTCTGACCCTCCCACCTCTCATGCTCTCTATCTCATTCTCTGTCTCAAATAAATAAATAAAATCTTTAAAAAAAAGGGGGGGGGCAGAGAGAGAGAGGGAGAGAGTGTGGAGCCCAACGCGGGGCTGGATCTCATGACCTGAGCTGAAATCAAGAGTCGGTCGCTTAGCTGACTGAGCCACCCAGGCACCCCTCAGTATCTATTATTCTTTATAGTCAGGTATAATGCTTCTGGCTCATCTTTATTATGACTTTCTACCTTTAATTTCTTTCTTTCTTTTTTTTTGGAGCATTGGTAGCTTTTAAGATTTAAGTCTCATAGTTTATTTTTGATCACAAAAGGGACAATGTACATTTTGATGGCGAGATCTGGCAGTTATTTTAACCAAATCATCAAACTTAGCAGCACCACCCACATTGTACCCAGTGTCACCTATGTAGTATTTTTGTCAAATATTTAATCTGAATGTAATTATGAAGGAATAATCAGAACAAGGAATATCCTTAAAGATGGCTAAGACTACTCGAAAAAGTCAAAGTTATAAAAAAAAATAAAAAGAAGGGAAAGACAAAGAGATAATACTAGTAAAGATAATGTGAGAATTTTCATTGGATCCTGGATCAGGGTGGAGAGAGGGAACTAGAAGATATTTTTACTACAGTTGGAGAAATTTAAATATGGTCTACATATAAGATAGTATTATTAAATTAACATTAGTTGTCTTAGATATGATGATGGTATTATGATGGTGTATGAAAGATTGTCCTTCTTGCTGAGGTATTTACTAGGAGTGAAGGGTCATGACCTCTGCAGCTTCCTTTCAAATAGTTCTCCAAAAAATGCATGTTTGTTTTTTTTTTTAAGTGAATGAGAGAAAGTATATGAAACAAAATGTTAATAGTGGGTGAATTTAGCAAAGGGTATGCAGGTATTCACTGATCTATCTTTCAAACTGTCTATAGATTTCAGATATTTAAAAATAAAGATTTGGTGGGGGGGCAGTTAAATCCAGTTTTCTAGCCACTGATAAGAGCTGGAGCATAAGCATTTGCTTCCACTTTTCCCTCCCTACATCAAAGTCAACAAAAATAATCTTAAAAAAAAAGAAAATACTAACATCTCTTTTATGCGTATTTTAAAAATAATCTTAAATAAAACAATAGCAAATTCAGTACAGTACTATATTAAAATAAACTTTATCCCAGGATTGTTAACCTGTCGAATATTATTAAGTCTATTACAATAACTATTGAATATTTTGGTTCCTTCAATCCATAAGTTAAAGGACAAGGAATAGTATAAAATAAGCTTGGTAAAGGGGCGCCTGGGTGGCTCAGATGGTTAAGCGTCTGCCTTTGGCTCAGGTCATGATCCCGGGGTCCTGGGATTGAGCCCCACATCGGGCTCCCTGCTAGGCGGGGAGCCTGCTTCTCCCTCTCCCTCTCCCCCTGCTCATGTTCTCTCTCTCTCTCTCTCTTTGTGTCTCAAATGAATAAATAAAACCTTTAAAAAAAAATAAGCTTGGTATGTGAAATTATTATATGTATGTATGTGTAAAGAACAAGGGGAGGATGAGTGTTAATCTAATATTTGAATTTTTTCTAGACATTCTAAAAATCCTGGCTTTGCCACTTAGTATCTCTGTAACCATGGGCATGCCTCCATTTCATCCACTATAAAATGGTCTAATAATTACCTACTTTCTAGAAATTTTGAGTATTAAATGAGTTAACAAATGTAAAGTACTGAGAATATTGCCTGGCATATACAATTTAGTTATTTTCTAGAAAATGAAAGAGAAATTACCTAAAAATTTTGGAATGACAAAAAACAAATGACCATTATTTATAAATAATAGGCTTGTCCACCTAGAAAATGTTAAGTGAATCAACTGAAAAGTTCTCAGAACCAGTAAACATTTAATGGAGAGAGGGTAACTGTAAGACATTTGCATAGGTCATAAGATTTTCTATCAATAACTAGTTAATATCATCAGGAAAAACTTGGCATTTATAAATAAGTATCCAAAGAATAAAAAAATTTAAAAGAAATATGAGGGACTTATGAAAACTCTGTTATACATAAAAATTATTTCAATATGTGGAGAGAGATAACATGTTTACATGTTTTGTTTCCCTGTTTTTAATGGAAGATTGTAAGAATGCCATTTTCTCAGATTATTATATAATTTGAACTTGATTCCAATTTAAATTTTATTTTCAGCTAGAAGTATTGATGAGCAAGAGATTCCCAGATCATTTACACACAAAGTATAATAAGGGAGTACTTGCTGTGTCCAATGTTAAAATGTTCTATTTCTGTGCTAATTTTAAAAACTTGGTACTGGTGCAGCAAAATACAGACAAACTGGTAACACAAACAAAGATCCAGAAAGCAACCCAAGTGTATTTAAAAAAAATGTGTAATATAATAGAGGTGGCAATTTTTAATCAATAGGTAAAGGTTAAATTATTTGTTAAATGGTTTGGGGGTGGGTAGTGGGTATTTTGGCAGGAAAAGTTAGATTCCTACATTATATCATATACTAAAATGAATTCCAGGGGAAATTGAGAATTTCATTGTTAAAAATGAAACCATATAAATCCTAACAAAATATAAGATAAAAGAAAAATATTTCTAATCATATACTAAAAGTGGAAACTATAAAGTATAAAATTCAACAGAATTACATAAGAAATAAGAATTTCTGTTAATATTCAATATTTAAATAAAATTAAAAGTAAATAATATTTGTGACATGAGAGACAGTCTTGTAAATCAAAAGGAAGGACTTATGTTATGCAAAACAAAATAAGAAGTAGGAATGGTATTATCCATATTTGGAGGGGAAAGATCTACGAATAGCAACCATACTGGAGGATACACTCAAAAATGTTAACAGTATGATCTATTTAGATCAATACATGATTTTTATCTTCTTTGCTTTTCTGTATTTTGTAAATTTTCAACAAGGAACATATGTTAATTTCATAGAAATAAAACTTTAAATGAATTATATGTGCTGTATTTTGAAAAGTATTTCTTGACATCTAATTTTCTGAATAGAGGAGTGGTAATTAGTTGTTAAGTTTCCGCAAGCCTTGGACCAGTGGAATCCGTTTTCCGGACGGTTAAAACTTGGAGGTAGAGCTTATGGTCACAGAAGATTCAAGAGTTTATTCTCATGTTTTTTTACTTCCTTTTATTGTTCAAAGGAGAATTGTTAATAAATAGTACTTTCTTGGTCTATTTTGTTTTGGTTACAGACTAGAAGCAGCCAAAGATGATTATCGTATTCGCTGTGAAGAGTTAGAAAAGGAAATCTCTGAACTTCGGCAACAGAATGATGAACTAACCACTTTGGCAGATGAAGCTCAGTCTCTAAAAGATGAAATAGATGTTCTTAGGTAAACAATCTTCCCATCTTGTTAGAATCTCAGGCCTGTCATCACCCAGAACAGCTCTACCAATGATGTTAACAAACTCTAGGATCTCTGAACATAGCACGGTGTTTAAGAGGACTTAGACCTTCCGGACTACCTGAGTTCAGATTTCAGTGCTACCATTTATTAAATCTCTGTGTAACCATTTTCTCATCTGTAAAATGGAGATGATGCACATATCTACCTCAGATTTATATGCAGAACTGAGTTTATATTTCTAAACAGTTGGGACAGTATCTGGCAGGTAAGTGCTATATAAATGTTAAATAGAAATTAACCTTCAACCACCGCTTCATACTTGGTATAGTTCTGGAGCTTTTCTTATTACGCCTCCTTTTCTTTAATTTCAAGTCCTCTGGTCACTCAGTCTTCCTCTTCCTCGGATGCTGTCACACCCACGAGGCACCATTTCCTTGCTGGACCGTTTTATCTGCACTTTGTTCTCTCACCAAGTGCCTTCACGCCCTGCCGCCTCGTTTTCTGACCATTCCACTTGTATAGCCTATCCTCTGTTGGATCATTCCAGCCATTTTTACTTTTGCTCCTTGAATACCAAGAAGGAGCAGAGAAAATCACATAGTGATATAGTTTTGTCCTGCTACGAATTCATGATCTTTACTCTTCGTTGGGTTGGTTCTTACCTGTGGTCACTATTCTGCTCATCATAGATAGTTCTGTCTCCCATTCCTCTCATAGCTAGTACATATTTCCATAACTTCTCACCTGGATGCCCACCCCCCACACCTCTCCATGCCTTAGTCTCAGGAGATGGCATTGTCTCCTACTGCATCAAAGAAAGGGGCCATGAACTATGGGACTGTCCATGTCCTATACTTCCTGCAGCTCCTAACTGCCCTGCATTGCCACCTGTCTTTGCATTTTTGCTTTTAGAATGTAGACTTGTTATTCTTACTCATGTCCAGTACTGATTCCTTTTTCAGTGCTCTGAGTCTCAACACTTCTTGCTTACATAAGGACTGTGTTACATCAGTTATCATTTCTCTTCACATTTGGATCTCCCACCTTAGCATATGTTTGTATGTTTAGGTCTCTTTCCTCTTAGAAAAAAAGACTTATTACTCTCTCCTTCCCTCCAGAACAAATTTTAGATTACAACAAGGTGAAATTTACATGGTCTCCTTAACTCCCTAAAATTTGCCACCTCCTGCCCCCACTACTCCTTGAAAATAGCTGTTCCTGTGGTCATTAATAACATTCTAATTGCCAGATCATTTGGACACACACTGCTCAATGTATTTTGCTTTTGAGCTACATGTGACTCTGCTGGTTACCCCTCCCTCCCACACACCACCACCACCACCACCACCACTTGCTTTCCTTAAATTATATAACATTCTTCATTACACATTTTGCTGTAATTTTGGTCATTTTTTAGCCTGAATAAAACATTAATCTGGACTCACCTTTGGTCTTATAATTTCAGAATGTGTTCTTTTCTGGCAGTCGCTCTTGGGTTAGCACTTTTAAAACCGCTTTACAACTCTGGATGTGTTTCTGATTTCTGATTTCCCATCTCATTCTAGACATTCTTCTGATAAAGTGTCTAAACTAGAAGGCCAAGTGGAATCATATAAAAAGAAGCTAGAAGATCTTGGTGATTTGAGGCGTCAGGTTAAACTCTTAGAAGAAAAGAATACTATGTATATGCAGAACACTGTCAGTCTAGAGGAAGAGTTAAGAAAAGCCAATGCAGCTCGAAGTCAACTTGAGACATATAAGAGACAGGTAAAAAGAATAGTAACAAAGTTTCTTGGTGATGTTTTCAAGCAAGTTCTCCATTATAACATTGTGGCTTACCAAAAATCCACTTACTTTGTTTTCACGGTATTGTTTTTTACCTATGAAACTTAGGGTTTTTTATTGTTGTTTTTTTTAACTCAGTTTTTAATTTTAATTCCAGTATAGTTAACATTGAAACTTAATTCTTATCCAGAGGTTATTGACTAGTGTCTGTAGCAGATCCTTCTATTTTTTATTTTTAAGTTATTATGTAATACAAAATACACAGAACTAAAAGAATAATACAAGTATCTATGCTTAAAGAATAAAACAGACTCTTCCCCTCCCCATTATAGTTATCACTGTGCTGTTTTGTGGTTTTCATTACCATGCATCTCTTTATTCATTTGGTGCATATATATTAGTTCATATATATATAATGTATAACATTTTTGACATGTTTCAGAACTATATAAATGATATAGTAAAAGGACTCTTCTGTGATTTACTTTGCTCAGTATATTTGGGAAATTTGTTTATGTTGATAGGTATAGCTTTATTCATTTGTACTGCTATATGGTATCCTATTGAGTCACTATACCACAATTTATCCATTTTCCCATCAAAGGACATACAGGATGTTTTAACTTTTTTTTTTTTTTAATTATAAATGCCACTATGCATATTATTGAACATGTCCTCTTCATGTGTGTGTAAGTTTTTTAGCTATAAGGAATTTCTTCCTTAGGGTGTCTTCATTTAATTAAATATTACTAAATTGTTCTTCAAAGTGATTGTATTACTATAATAGCAGTTTTAGTGAATTCCTGTTGTTCCACATCACCAACACATAGTATTGTCATACTTGAAATTTTGCCAATTGGATGAATATGAAATAGTGTCTTCTCATGATTATACTTTGCATTACCCTAATTACAAATATATTTACTGATTACAGTTCTTTTGTGAATGGCCCATTTTAAATCTTTTATTCATTTTTAAAATTGTATTATTTCTTTTTCTTACTGATTTCTGGAAGTTTTTTATGTTCTTGCTATTAATCTTTTGTCGGTTACACTTGCAGCATTTATTTTCTACCAATCTGTAACCTCTTTACTTTTTTTGAGGTTAATTTTAAGATAACTTTAAATATCTTTTTATGATTTGTGCCTTTTAGGTCTTAGATCATTTCCTACACAAGAGTGTAAGCCAATCTCTATTTTCTTAACAAAGATTTAAAGTTTGTTTTGCACAATTAGGTCTCTTATCCACATGGAATAAGTTTTTGTGTAGGATGCTAGGTTAAGGATCCATTTGATACTTTATTGTCTATGTAGGCAACCATTCAACCTAGTGGCGTTTATTTAATAGTCTCTTCCACAAGGACCTGCAATTTCTGTCTTACCACATACCTAAAGTTTCCATCTTAAATGTAAGTTTGTTTCTTGGCATACTCTTCTGTTTCATTGATTTATTTGTCTACTCTTACACCAGTACCCCACTTATTATTACCTATAGATTTTTAGTCATTTCATATTTGATAACACAGATAACACACACCTTGTTCTTTTTCAAAACTGTCTATTAGACCTTTTCCTTTGCTTTATACCCAAAACCTTTGGGTTTGGAATTACATTGATGCTGTTGATTAATTTGAAGAGAACTGACATCTTTATGACAATGAATGTTCCTGTTGATGAATACATCTTTCCATTTATTTAGGTCTTCAGTGTCTTTCAGTGAAGTTTTATAATTTTCTTCTAAATGTCATGTACATGTTTTGTTATATTTACTCTTAGGTACCTTATTCGGATTTTCGGATTTTGTAACTGCAATTAGCAAAAGAAAGGATACCATTTTCAGTTTATTGCTCATTTAAATGATTGAAATTGATTTTTATGTTCATTTTACAACCATGCCAGATTCTCGTATTATTACTTCTAATAATGTCTGTAGGGTCTCTCGTCAGAAGTCATATACAAATCAGTTTTTTTTCTTTCTTTCTACTCCATACCCTTTTTTTCCTTCTTAATCATCATGTTTGACCTGTAATACAACTCTGAATGGAAATAATTATAGTAGGCAACCATTTCTTGTCGATTTTATACAGAATGCTTTAAATGTTTTACCCGTATATTATTAGCACATTTTACTCAGGTTGTCTGTCTTTAGATGCTGAATTTAATCAACTCCTTTTCCTACACCATGGAGAGATTCCTGTACTGCTCCTCCTTTCTATTAATGTGATGAATTATATTAACGGATTGTTGATGCTTAAACCATCCTTGCATTCCTGAGTTAAACCTCATAGAGTCACTGAAAATTTGTTGTTTTCATATTGTTAGATTTGCTTTGTTCATTTTACTTGGAATCTTTTTCCTCTCTGATTCAGTTGAAGTTCTCTATCTCATACTTTCCTGATCTGATTTTGGCATCAAAACTATATACTAGCTTAAAATCAGTTGAAGAAGTTTTAATAGAACAGCTCTGTACACCATGAATGACTGGCAAGTTTTTTTGCTGGATACATTTCTTCCCAACATTTTATTATGATATTTTCAGTACACAATAAAGTTGAAAGAATTAGTGAACTTGAATGTGGACTGAAAATTACCCAAAATAAAAGTACCTCAGAGAAACTATATGTGAAATTTTAAAATATTAAAATGAGATGACTTAGAGTTACAGAAGAGAGAACAGCAAGAATTACAGAAAGACATTATTTGAAGAAAAGAATGACTGAATAGGGGCACCTGGATGACTCAGTAGGTTAGGTGTCTACCTTCAGCTCTGGTCATGACCCCAGGGTCCTGGGATCAAGTCCCACATCTGGCTCCCTGCTCAGCGGGGATCCTGCTTCTCCCTTTGCCTCCTTGTGCTCTCTCTCTGTGTCAAATAAATAAAATCTTAAAAAAAAAAAAAGAATGCCTGAACAATTTTAGAACTAATGAAGGACATCAGAGATAGTATTAACAATGAATTACAAAAAAAAAAAAAAGAATTTCAAAATAAATAAGGAATCTACAACTAGAAATATTGCAGTACAATTCTGTAATACATGAATTCTAGCTATTTTGATCTGTGGCTTACTATACTTTGTTTTTCAATGATAGTATTTTTCTTTCCGCAAGTTCTCTTTGAGTATTCTTTCAAACCTGCCCGATCATCTTCCTTTCATAATTTAGGTTTCTGCCTTTATTTTCTTTATGTATTTCATAATTTAGATTTCTGTCTTTATTTTCTTTATGCATTAAACCTCGCATTTTATAACTGATAATTCCAATCAAATCTTTATAGGTCTTATTCTGTTTTGTTGTTGTTGGTACTGTTAATGTTTTTCTAACTGGTGTTCATAGTAGCTTCTTTATGGCCTTTGCTCTTTGATTTGGCTCATCTTTCTCTTCGGGAATACTTGGGGGTTTGGGTTTATATTGTGTTTTTCCAGACAACATATGTTTTGTTTAGGCCAGATATTTCACAGCACTACCAACCAAGACTAAATTAATTGCTTGAGTTAGGATTTGCTAGATAAGGCATGTGGTAAAAAATGTCAACAAATCTACATATTAGCAAGCCATAGTTAGAATCAAAATTTCAAGTTACACTTCATTAGACCCAGAGTACTCACTGTAAGACAGGCAATCTTCCTTACTGCTTTTTCCAGCTAATGGATTTTTTCCTAACCTACCTGTTTACTGACTCAGCACCTTTTAAAGCCCAAGGTGGTTTAACAACCACATCTTCCTTTAAATTCAAAGCTCTAGGTTCCTGGTATTAACAGTTGGGGGATGCCTCATGGTACCCCATAGCTTCCATACAAACTTCTCACTGCAGTTTTCACCCCTGAGGGTTTCCCTTACTTTCTTGTAAGCTTAGCTGTGCAATTGGACTTTTTCCCCTCGTGTTTCTTTGGCTTTGTGCTGAAAGAGTTTCAGACTCCTTTGTTATCTGTATAACAGGAAATGGAAGCTGTCCTGTAGGTTCTTTTGTAATTTTGTACATTGCTATTCTGGATGATCTGGTTTTAGAACCCATAATGTCTGGGTAGATGTTTGTTACTAGTTCTCTCTGTTGGGGTAGGCTGCTATATCCTACACTTTTTTTTTTTTTTAGTATTTTGGGGGGAGGGAGTTTTCATACCTTTGCAGAAGAAAATAGTGAAAATTTTTAATGTTTCAAATTATACAAATTAATGGTACCTTTCTGAATCAGGTAGTAGAACTACAAAATAGATTATCTGAAGAATCGAAGAAAGCAGATAAATTAGATTTTGAATATAAGCGGCTAAAAGAAAAAGTTGACAGTCTTCAAAAAGAAAAGGATGTGAGTATAATAAGGCATTTTGGTTTTGAGCACTGCTAAAATTAAGATAATGATATTTAATTCCTTCTATTTATAGATTTTTTAATTAGAGATCCTGTTTTTTAAATTAGAGAAGATTTACATTTGTGTTTCAGAAATAAATCTAAAATAAAAGATTAAAAGAATAATTTTATTTCCACTAATTTCTTTTGTATATCTTTATCTTTTCTACCACTGTTGCTTCTTATACATTGTTTTGCTCATTACTTTCTATAAATTTGTGTAGCTTTTTTGTTTTCTTTAGAATTAATACAGAGGACACAGTTCTTTTTGTTGTTCAGCATATTTTGAATCTTTTAAAAATGTTTTTACTTTGTAATGGTTTATGAATATTTCAAGTCTTTGCTGTTTGATTCTTTTTATGTCTAATGAAAGGAATGTTATTTGTATAATGTACTTACGTTAAGGACAGAGTAGACACTTATGTTTAACGGTGAATAACATTGCCTTGCACATACTAGATATTGAATATTGTTGAATGGGAAAAAGTTTGTTGTAATATTTTCCTTTTATTATGATCTTTCTGTGGAAGATGAAAAGGTGAAACATGCCCATTTTCACTGCTGTTCATCATTCTCTTAGTAAGGCGAAGACCACCAATGAATAAATTCATAAAACTTGAAGCTAACTTTTCTTCTTTTTAATGTCCCTCCAGAGGTTAAGAACAGAAAGGGATTCTCTGAAGGAAACCATTGAAGAGCTTCGTTGTGTACAGGCTCAAGAAGGACAGCTCACAACTCAAGGTAAAAACATTTCAGTAACCAAGATTATTTATTTCTTATGATAACAGTAGGAATTTTAGCTTCAGGGGTACCTGGGTAGCTCAGTCAGTTGAGTGGCCAACTCTTGATTTTGGCTCAGGTCATGATCTCAGGGTCCTGGGATCAAGCCCCATGTTGGGCTCCATGCTCAGCAGGGAGTCTGCTTGAGGATTCTCTCTCTGCCCCTCCCCCCCCCACTTGCACACTCTCTCTCTCTAAAATAAATACATACTTTTTTTTTTAAATTTTAGATTCATTTTAAAGTGCTTGCAACAATGGATGAAAATGAAAAATTAGTTAACAGGCTGTGGAGTTGATATAAATTCTAAACTGTTAGCCAGATTTTATGGTAAACAGGCTATAGTAATGAGACCAGATTTACTTGCCTATTATTTTAATTTAAATATTTGAATTTTATCAGGTCAAAAGCATAAACATTTGTTAAATCATTTGTGTTAATAATAAACCTGGAAAGTTTTATTCTGGAAAGTTTCTTATGACCTCTTTAAAAGTCAAACTTTCTAAGTCAGTGATTTTTTTTTTTTTTCCACCTGAGATATGGGGTGGATATCAATCCATTACAGGACTTCTGTCCAAAGTAGAACTCTGCTATTCTCATAGGAAAGGAGCAGCACTTAGCTCAGGGTTAGTCCCTACCACTTTTGTCATCATGCTGGCAGATTTGGAGCCCAAACAGTGACTTGTACAGCTTCACAGTTGTTTGCTCCCCTCCAGTAACAAGCCCTTGGCTTTTCAGTTACCCAAAACTGGAATTCTTCCTTTCCTCTGACTATACCCTCCTTTTTCTCTTCATTCCTTCTACAGATTACATTGTACCTTTAATCCCCTCTCTGTTGTTTCTCTTGGTAAGCTGGACAGCTCTCTTCTGGCCTCGTTTTCTAGCTTACACAGCCTGTCTAGCAGCCATTTTAACTATGTTTTCATCACCACCATCTTTCCTTATGCTGAAAGCTTGTCAAACCCTAATTCAGATAGCCTAAAGTTTTTTTCTCTATTCCAAATTAACCAGGACCAGCTAAAGACAATTATTTTCTCTTTTTTCTTTTTATTATTAAGGTATAATTGACATATAACATTATGTTAGTTTCAGGTGTACAACCTAATGATTTGATATTTGTATATATTGTGAAATGATCACCACACTAAGTCTAATTAACATCCATCAACATACACAATTACAAAATTTGTTTCTCTTGTGATGAGAACTTTTAAGGTCTACTCTCAGCAACTTTCAGATATGCAGTACAGTACTATTAACTATAGTCACCATGCTGTACATTATAGCCTTGTGACTTATTTATATTGTATCTGGAAGTTTATATCTTTTGAACCCCTTCACCTATTTTGCCAACCCTCCACATCCCACCTCCGGCAACCACCAACCAGTCAGTTCTCTGTCTATGAGCTTGGTTTTTTGGTGGTGTTTTTTGTTTTGTTTTCTTTAGATTCCACTTAGAATTGAGATCGCACAGTATTTGTCTTTCTATATCTGAGTTATTTCACTTAGCATAATGCTCTCTCAAGGTTCATAATATCACAAATGGCAAGATTTCATTCTTTTTATGACCGAATAATATTTATATATACACACCCCCCCACACACAATTTGTTTATCCATTTATCAATTGATGGAAATGTAGGTTGTTTCCATCTCTTAACTGTTGTAAATAGTGAGGGGCACAGATACCTCCTCAAGTTAGTATTTTCATTTCCTATGGATAAATTCCCAGAAGAGGAATTGCTGGATCATATGGTATTTCTATTTTTAATTCTTTAAGGATCCTACATACTGTTTTCCCACAGTAGCTACACCAAATTACATTCTCTCCAACAGTGCACAAGGGTTCCCTTTTCTCCACATCCTCACAACTTGTTATCTCTTGTCCTTTGGATAATAGCTGTTCTAACAGGTGTGAGGTGACCTCTCATTGTGGTTTTGATATGCATCTTCCTGATAGTGACCTTGAGCATCTTTTCATGTGTCTGTTGGCCATCTGTTTGTCTTCTTTGTAAAAAATGCCTATTGAGGTCCTCTGCCCATTTCTTAATTGTTGTTTTTGCAGTTGAGTTGTATGAGTTGTTTTTGATATTAACCCCTTATTAGACACATGGTTTGCAAATATTTTCTTCCATTTAGTACATTGCCTTTTCATCTTGTTCATAGTTTTCTTTGCTGTGCAGAGGCTCTTTAGTTTATAGTAGTCAGTAATAGATTTTTGCTTTTGAGAAAATTATGTATGTTTTCACACACACATACGCACACACAGCTATTTCTGAATGTAATTAGACCCTTATTGCTGCTTGGTAATCCTTTCATGTATCTCTAATCAACTGTATGAGTTTTCCCAAAATTTAGGAATCAGCCTAAGCCTTAATTCTTTAACTCTGAGCTCCTATATCCTCAAGAGAGACCATCCTATGTAAACTTACACATTTGTTTCTTTGCTACCTATAAACCCATATGTTTTAACCTTATTTACATATATGTTGTTGACCTAGCCATTTTGCTCTAAAAATTTATCCTAATGAATTAAACATCATTTATAATAGTGAAATTTAGAAACAGTCTAGAAGTTAGCAGTCTCATTCAACTGTATCCTATAGAGCCATTAAAAAGAATGAAGTATATTTTGTATGCCTGACATGGAGTGTTGTGTATATCATTATGTTTAAAAAGTTGGTGACATTGTGATAAACACTGTTAGCAAGCTAAGAATAGAAGGAAACTTCCGCAAGCTAATAAAGGACAGCTATGAAAAACCTATAGCTAACCTTGTACTTAATGATGAATATTAAATGCTTTTCCCCTAAGATCAGAAACAAGGCAAGGATGATCACTTTTTTTTTTTTCTATTTTGTTATTATTTACTAAACTCCAGTATAGTTAACATACAGTGTTATATTAGTTTCAAGTGTACAATATAGTGATTCAGTAATTCTATACATCACTTAGTGCTCATCAAGATAAGTGTATTTCTTAATCCCCATCACCTATTTCATCCATCCCCCCCCACCCACCTTCCCTCTGATAATTGTCTGTTCTCTATAGTTAAGTGAGAGTCTGTTTTTAGGTTTGTTTCTTCCTTTTATTTTTTTTCTTAGAGTGGGAGCAGGGAGGGACCAAGGGAGAGGGAGAGAGAGAATCATAGCATTATACTCTGTAGCTGCATCCGTGTTGTTGCAAATGGCAAGATCTTGTTCTTTTTTATGGCCAAATACTATTCCATATATACCACCTCTTCTTTATCCATTTACCTATCATTGGACACTTGGGTTGCTTCCATAATTTGGCTATTGTAAATAATGCTGCCATAAACATAGGGGTGCCTATAAGGGTGTTCACTCTTGACACTTCTATTCGTCATAGTATCAGAGGTTCTAGGCAGTGCAGTCAGGCAAGAAAAAGAAATAAAAGGCATTCAGATTGGAAAGGAGGATGTAAAAAAATCATAGAACTAGTAAGTAAGTTCAGCAAAGTCTCAAGATACAAGATCAGTATATAAATACCAACTATATTTCTGTGACTACTAGTAAATAATCTGAAAATGAAATTACAATAGTATCATACAGAATAAAATGCTCAGGAGTACGTTTAACAATGAAGTGTAAGCTTGAACACTAAAAACTATAAATCACTGCCAAGATAAAGATCTAGATATATGGGGACTCATGGGTGGCTCAGTCGGTTAAGTGCCTACCTTTGGCTCAGGTCATGATCCCCAAGGTCCCAGGATCGAGTCCCACATCAGGCTCCCTGCTCAGCTGGGAGCCTGCTTCTCCCTCTGCATGCCGCTCCCTCTGCTTGTGCTCTCTCTCCCTCTCTCTGACAAATAAAATTAAAAAAAAAAAATCTAGATATATGGAGAGACGGTCCATGTTCAGGTATCAGAAAATTCACTCTAGTTAAGATTGCAGTTCTCTTTATTGATTTAAAGATTTGATGCAATTCCAATCAGATTCTAAGCAGACTTCTTTGGTAGAAATTGACACGCTGATCCAACAATTTATATGAAAATACAGAGGAGCTAGTATAACAACAACAAAAAATCGTGGAATGGGGCGCCTGGGTGGCTCAGTTGGTTAAGCGACTGCCTTCGGCTCAGGTCATGATCCTGGAGTCCCGGGATCGAGTCCCGCATCGGGCTCCCTGCTCGGCAGGGAGTCTGCTTCTCCCTCTGACCCTCCTCCCTCTCATGCTCTCTGTCTCTCATTCTCTCTGTCTCAAATAAATAAATAAAATCTTTAAAAAAAAAAAATCGTGGAACGGACTACATTCTGATTTCAAAGCTTACTATAAAGCTACTATAATTAAAAAGCATGAAATTGACATAAAGATAGACATGGAGATCAATAGAATGTACCACATTAATAGAATGAAGGAAAAAAAACCATCTGATCATTTCAGTTGATGCAGAAAAGGCATTTGATAAAATCTAACACCCTTTCATCATAAAACACACATACAAAACACCTCAATAAGTTAGGAAGAGAACTAGAAAAGATATTTCCATAACATGATAAAGGCCATATATGACAAACCCACAGTGCACATCATACTCAGTGATGAAAGATTGAAAGCTTTTCCTCTAAGATCAGAAGCAAGACAATACCAACTGCCACCACTTCTATACTTCTATTCAACATAGCATAGATGTTCTAGCCAGAGCAATTAGACCAAAATTTTTTAAAAATCTAAATTGGAAAAGAAGAACTAAAACTATCGCTGCAGATGACATCACCAAAATCAAAAAAACACCTCTTAGAACTAATAAAATGAATTCAGCAAAGTTGCAAGATGCAATTCAGTTATATTAGCTGCAAAAATAAATTATATATGTGTATGCTAATGAACAGTACAAAAAGGAAATTAAGAAAATTTTATTTACAATAGGATCAAAAAGAATAAAATATTTAGGAATAAATTTAACCAAGGAGGCAAAGACTTGCACCTTAAAAACTAC